AACTAGGTAAACCTCATTTTACGAGGACTAACGCCTAGTTCGAACTAGGTAAACCTCATTTTACGAGGACTAACGCCTAGTTCGAACTAGGTAAACCTCATTTTACGAGGACTAACGCCTAGTTCGAACTAGGTAAACCTCATTTTACGAGGACTAACGCCTAGTTCGAACTAGGTAAACCTCATTTTACGAGGACTAACGCCTAGTTCGAACTAGGTAAACCTCATTTTACGAGGACTAACGCCTAGTTCGAACTAGGTAAACCTCATTTTACGAGGACTAACGCCTAGTTCGAACTAGGTAAACCTCATTTTACGAGGACTAACGCCTAGTTCGAACTAGGTAAACCTCATTTTACGAGGACTAACGCCTAGTTCGAACTAGGTAAACCTCATTTTACGAGGACTAACGCCTAGTTCGAACTAGGTAAACCTCATTTTACGAGGACTAACGCCTAGTTCGAACTAGGTAAACCTCATTTTACGAGGACTAACGCCTAGTTCGAACTAGGTAAACCTCATTTTACGAGGACTAACGCCTAGTTCGAACTAGGTAAACCTCATTTTACGAGGACTAACGCCTAGTTCGAACTAGGTAAACCTCATTTTACGAGGACTAACGCCTAGTTCGAACTAGGTAAACCTCATTTTACGAGGACTAACGCCTAGTTCGAACTAGGTAAACCTCATTTTACGAGGACTAACGCCTAGTTCGAACTAGGTAAACCTCATTTTACGAGGACTAACGCCTAGTTCGAACTAGGTAAACCTCATTTTACGAGGACTAACGCCTAGTTCGAACTAGGTAAACCTCATTTTACGAGGACTAACGCCTAGTTCGAACTAGGAGGGTAGTGTAGACATACCCTCATCTCCCGACCCCACACATACATGGGGCATTGTTGTTACTTCTTTTACTGCTTGCAAAGTGAGTTATGTTTGGTTTTGGTCTGTGCATTTCATAATTTTCATTTCTCTCTCACGCTTAAATTTAATTATTTGAGTATTGAGTTCTAAAATGCCTAACCTGGCGCGGCTGGAGTAATTTTCTCTTTGGGAATTGCTGCTCCTGGAAGTGGCTGGCCTGTCCCTGCAACCCCTGACTTCACATGCTGTCCTTGCCTGCAGACACCACTCCTGCAGCTCCCATTGATCAATAATGGGGAACTGTGGCCAGTAGAAGCTGTGGGCTCAATGCCTATATATGAGGGGAGCACATGGAGCCATGGCTATACATGATAGCTGCTTTCAGGAGTGGTGCAGGGCCAGGGAAGGAGTAAGCCTGCTTTAACTCCACTGCTCCACCACCCAGAAGCCGTCTCAGTCAAACAGTGCCCAGCCAGAGCCTGCTTTCTGAACCCCTGTCCCAGCCCTGAACCTCCTGAACCCACATGCAACCTCCTGCCCCAGACATGAATCCCCCTGCACACAAACTCCTCCCTAGAGCTTGCAACCTGAAACCCCTCCTGGATCCCAATCCCCCATCCTGGGCTAATCCCGGAACCCCTCCCACACTCCAAATCCCTTGGCCCAGACCAGAGCCTATAGCTCAATTCTCTACCCCAGCCTGGTGCAAGTGAGTCAGAATGGGGGAGGAAGGGAGACGGAGTGAGCAGGGTGAGGCCTTGGAGAAGTGGTGGCGCAGGGGCAGGGCCTCAGAGAAGGGGCGGGAAGGAAGTAGGCAAGGGTATTTGGGTTTGCAGTAGATCTTACATTGCACTTAAACTGAAAAAGTGATCTTGTGGTTAAAAAGGTTGGAGACCACTTCTATAAACCAATTCAGTTGAAATAAGAATGTTGTGAGACTCTAGTTAAATTAATGAACACTGAGCACAGTCTCTTTAAAAGAGTAAGTAACAAATATGAACTTCTTTGAGTGTTCCTAAAGAAGGGTGGAAACTGCAAAGAGACTTCTCAAGGGCACTCAGGAATTGGGGGTTCACTGGTTGATACATTCAAGGCAAAGAGTATCCTGAAGAGTTTCTTGGTAAGACAGACAAACTGTTGTGTCAGGGGGTTGCCACATAGCTTATTAACAAAACTTTTACTTATTGTGACTGAGAGGTGTAATATAGTAGTTCAGAATTCTGGGAACCTCAGCAGATTGCCACATTAGCAGATGATTTTGTGGATATTTAGAATTGGGATGGTATTGATGCTAGTCTGCAAAAGTAGCTGAGCAGTGGAAATTAGGGGATGACTTACATATTAGTCTGTTGGCTGTTGTCAGGGCTATGAGACATAAGCGCATTTAAGGTATCTCAAGTTGTAGGGCAAATAGTAAAACAACCCTTTACTAGTCTCAGACAACCCCCCAAGGATGATAATGGTTTAGTTGGTTCCATTTACATCAGTAGTAGTTAAAATGCAAAACAATCACTTAAGTAATTTTTCAGAGGGGTAGCCAAGTTAATCTGTACAGAATAAACTTAAAAAACAACAAAAAGTTTGGTAGCACTTTAAAGACTAACAAAACATGTAGATGGTATCATGAGCTTTCGTGGGCACAACCCACTTCTTCAGGAGTGCTGAATATAATTCTGTTAGTCTACATCCATAACAACCTCTTTTTCAACTAAGAAAAAAGTGATATATAAATTTAACAAGAGAGGCCAGTTGAGGTGTTGTCAGTTCATTCCAGTACTCTTCTCTATGGGAGTCCTGACATGTGCTATGACTGTGGGAATGTGGCCATGACTAGGGCAAGTTAGCTCTGGTGTGCACTAGGGAATTATTTTGAAATAACTCCCCTGATTTTGAAATAACGAGCGAAGTGGCCACACTATCAACCCTGTTATTTCAAAATAACAGGCTGGTTATTTCAAAATACAAATGGACAGTCTCAATTCTGCAAGATTCTTGTTATCCTCTGCCCCCATATCCACCACTATACCACCATCACCATGGATGCGAAGAGGAACGGCACAGGACTTAAGGTCATGCTGTATTACCATGTTTGTAGTTGTTTGAACGCTTTTTGATGACCTGTTAATCATCAAAGTTAAGTGAGGCTTAAAGCAGGAGGACATTTGTTCACTGAATTTGTTTCCCAATGTCCTGGAAGATGTCCTGTGGAAGACTGAAGTGAAAGATGGATTTTTAATTGATGGTGAGGTTCTACAGATGCTCATTTTCACAGATGACATTGTCCTAATTGCATCGAAACCTGAAACACTGCAAACCCTCCTCAATGACATCAGTAAGAACACAAAGGAGATTGGCCTGACCATCTATACTGGAAAACCAAAGTGGATGAAAAATGCATATTGTTCAGAATACATCATGCAATTAGATGGGACAGACCGTCGTGCTGCTGGATCAATATGTATATCTTGGACAATCATTGCAGATGGACAATATGTTGGGCCCGGAGTTGAGCATGAGGAGGTGGTCTGGCTGGATTGCCTTTGGGAGTCTGCGCAGCGTTTTTCTTGATACCAAACTTTCCACCACTGTGAAAACCCATCTCTTTACCACCAGAATATTTCCAGTAATGCTGAATGGCTACAAAACCTGGAACCTTACAGAAGTATTAAAGTTGCAAACCAAAGAGCAATGGAAAAATGCATGGTGGATGTAAGTAGGGTACAGCAAGTTACTATCGACAATTTGAGTACAAGAAGCAGTGTCAATGATATCATCCAAGATATCTACAATCAGAAAAGGAGATGGGCTGGCCATGTAGCAAGGCTGAGAGACAACAGATGGACAACATGTGTACTTCATTGGTATCCACGAGACGTAAAAAGAACAAGAGGAAGGCCTCCAGCACATTGGGTGGATCCTTTATGGAAGATTTTATGGAAGGACATGGACGAGAACCACACAAAACAGGATAGTGTGGAAAAGTTGCAATTTGCATCGGTAGCGAGACTATTTGCACTGATGAACTCACAGATCTTCCAAGTATTTTGAAATAGTGGTAGTATGGACATTCCACTGCTGCTATTTTGAAATAAGTACTCCCCAGAGTCATTCAAAATAATTACTCCCTAGTGCTTCCTTGGGTTCTAAGTGTAGGTAACGTGTCCACATTAAGGTAGCCTGCCTTGGACTAATTTTAATGCTTCTCTATAGTGTGAACATGCTATTTTGAAATAGTTATTTTGGGAATGATTACTTTGAAATAAGTTATTTCAAAATAATTTTCTAGCATACACACACCCTTTGGGAGGAAAATTTGACTCTTTTTTGGTACTTTACACAGAATTTTATTCTGTACTTTTAATTATAACTTATCCATCATCCTGGTTGAAGAAAGGTTGTTGTAGGCCTAAGGAGATCTGAAAGGTCATGAAATAACATATTTGTTCACGGCACTTTGCCTCAGAACTAAGCAAGCCAAGCAGTTTACTTGTTGCTTTCCAAGAGCTAATTCTGGGATAGGACTAGTTTTTTTAAGTAATTAATTACGATTCCAGATTCAACTCTAAATTACTATAAATCCCTTTGGCTCCATAAAAATAAGATTCATACTGTCGGCTCTGTACAGTAAAACTGACCTGATGGGCACAAAATCTGGGACAGCACCAGCAGAGAATTATATGGATTACAAGACCTAAAACAAAATTAAATCTGAATACTATAAGCCTAAAATCCACAGTGTTAATCATTTGATCAGACAGTGTCAGTTCTGGCTATTCAACAGTGTCACCTAACAACAAAGCTGTACATCTGTTCCACTGACTAGAACAATTTTTCAAATGACAAAAGAGAAATTACAATGTATAGAATACCTCAGATTTACTATTCACTGTACAACTTAAACATTCGGCCTTAAACAGATTGAAAAATAGCAACTTCTTCATAAAGAAATGAACAGAAGTAAAATCAGACATTATGTATATCTCAGGAGGAGGATGTACACTGAAGACTCAGTGTAAATAGTAATATTTGGTTCCAATTATCAGGAACAAGAGCTCAACTGTTTGCTAATTCTGTTACACAAAAACATTTCATATTAATTAAAACAAATGGCACCCAGATGGTACCTGTACTTACTCATTACCCCAGTCTAGTCGCACTGTAAGATGTCTTTTGACCTCTCGCACCTGATCCTGTGTCAAGTGACCTGACAGTAGTTGTCTCCGTAGGTCAATGAGTTCATTCATCACATGGCGCAGTTTGTAGAAAAGATCTATCTTATGCTTCTGTAAACATACATTTTGGTGGTAAGAGGAAAAAAAGGGGAGATTAAAAAATTAGATTTTCATCAACTATCCAAGAAAAAAAGGCAACTCACAAAAGAATAACCTTTTTCCACATGCATGCATCAATATGATGATTTTTCCAGAAAAATACAAATTCCATTTTTCTTTTTCAGGTTGGCACAACCATTCCATTCCCTTTTTTCTGCAGTTTTCAATGCTTCAAAAAGTGAAACCTCTACAACTGCTTCTCCTTTAAGCATGAATAATTTTAAAAATAGTAACAGCTTTAATTTTCTAATATATGTTATTATTAGAAATGCATAGTATGGCCACAAAAAGGCAATCTAATGTAAACCCTGAAATGGAATAGTATGTCAATTGCTGTGGCCTTGAATATTTAAGCAGTACTAGAAAGTTACATGGCCCACAAGAGAAGAACAGATGTATTATATCAGGCCTAAATCATAGAAAAAGAGAAAAAAAACCATGAATTTATATGTATGTAGTTCCATTGTACTCTTGAAAGTGTACTAGCCTTCACGATAGAGCAATTTAAAACAAGGCAATTTACATCATTTGATTCCCTCCCTCCTAAAATCATTGATTTAAATCAGATTCAGTCATTTGAAAAATTGGTTTATAGTATCTTTAGATGAAAATTTATAACACACTAAATTATGAATACTATTTGTTTTTAATGACATTACTGGGTGGTTGTCCACAAACTCTTAAACAGGTATATAACTTTACTTACAAGTATCATCCCACTGACTCAATGGGACTACTGATAGCACTGAATCTACACTACTGATGTTCATGGGAACTTTAATTTTGGATTCAATAGCAATAGGATCAATCAACAAGTGCTTAAAAAGTAAGCATATGTATCAGGCACAAAAATTATTTTTAGTAATTTTTCCTGTTAATGACATAAAATCTTCATACTAAAGTAAATTTGCTTAATTTTTAAGAGAGAGAAGTTATTTGGAATTTTATTAACTAAACAAAATTATTTAAAACTTTCTTCCATCCCAAGTGCAGGACTCTACATTTGTCCTTGTTGATCCTCATCAGATTTCTTTTGGCCCAATCCTCTAATCTGTTTAGGTCACTCTCAACCCTATCCCTGCCCTCCAACTTATCTATCTCTCCCCCTAGTTTAGGATCGTACGCAAACTTGCTGAGGGTGCAATCCATCCCCTCATCTAGGTCATTAATAAAGATGCTGAGCAAAACTGGCTCCAGAACCGATTCTTGGGGCACTCCACTTGAAACTGACCACCAACCTGACATCGAGCTGTTGATCACTACCCACGGGGCCCGACAATATAGTCAGCTTTCTATCCACCTTACGGTCTATTTACCCAATCCATACTTCCTTAACTTGCTGGCAAGGATATACCCAGATATAGGCTCTTGAGGCCAGGTCAATAAAGGGACTTAGGGTATGTCTACACTGCCACCCTAGTTAAAACTAGGGTGCCTAATGTGGGCATTCGAACTTGCAAATGAAGCCCGGGATTTAAATATCCCGGGCTTCATTTGCATGTTCCTGGATGCTGCCATTTTTAAATACCCTGTAGTTCGAACTACCTGCCCGCGGCTACACGCAGCACGGACTAGGTAGTTCAAATTAAAGCTCCTAATTCGAACTACCGTTATACCCCCTTGCAGGAGTTCGAATGCCCACATTAGCCACCCTAGTTCGAATTAGGGTGGCAGTGTAGACATACCCTTAGACATCTCAGTCTCAATGTAAGCATTGCTGAGATCCACAGAACTACCACTCAGCTGCTGCTTAAACTTAACCAACGTCTACATTTTTGGCTGTAAAAGTTCCAAAGGCTTTTAAGTTTCTGCCTCTGAACACATGCACTGCTCTCTGTTGGGTATGTAGCTAGGGGAAGTTTAGTGTGGGTTCATAATTCAATTGCACCTACAAATATCATAAAATAAAGGTTGCAAAAACAAGCAAACATACATCTCTTTCAGCCACATGAAGAGGGGAGACGCTAGGGGAGGAGAAGGCTAACAAACAGTGAGCCTGCCCCACACTCATCTTGCAGCTGCAGCAGCAGCAGCTCCTATCCCACAGGGATGGGTCTAGCTCCCCAAGTCAGGCCTTGTGACCTGGTCCATGGGGTTTTAGTACCACTCAGGTTAGGGTAGCTTGGGCACTACACAGATTTGGGCTCTTGGGACATGAGCCATGACTGTGGGGGTGAATATGGGGTGGACTCACTCTCCATTGCATCCACTCCACCTTTCATGGTCTCTCTTTCACTGCAGGCTGGAAGTAGGATTGTGAAGCCAGAGCACAGGGTGCTGAGGTGGTCGATGTCCCCTCAGCCATTCAGTATGGTGCCCTCATTGAATGAGGCAGCTATATTAATCGTTGGTCTTTGGAGAGTACATTAACATAAACCTTAAGTTACACACAAAAAGCTATATCAAAAGAATATTACGATTGAAAAGACAAGCACTCAAATGCTAAGCAATGCCAGAATTAAGGTTGTCTGTGCAACCTTATGTCAGCATGCTTGCGAGCATGTATTATGTAAGTATGTAGAGTCACTAACCATGTGATCATATACTATTTTTTTTCACAGAATCGCTTTCAGTGTACAGAATGGACCGTGTTCTAGAAGTGAACCAGGAATGTGAACTGGATAAGACTCTTGTTTGTAGGACTGGCCCTCATTTACTGCAGAAGATGGAAAGTGTGAAGTCAATGCAGTAGACTGCAGGAAACAAAAGGATGGTTTCATAAAAAATGCATCTGCCTCCCACCCTAGAGAACTGGATTCTAATCTATAACAAGCTAGGCCAAGTCAGTTAAACCAAATATTTCACTGGAAGACATTGTTTGTTTCTCAATTTCGGAGTGCCCACATTGAGACACAAGGGATCTGGTTTGCTGAAGTGCTGAGCATTCATAACTACAATGCAGAACCAAAACACTGATATGTGGTCTCAAGTTGAGCCCAATCTCTCCGATGTAAGCTCCTTAGATGAAGAGGTTTGCATCCATTATGACTATGTAAATCCATCAGTAAAAAGATTATAGAATAGATATTTTTCTTTATTAATAAATCCATTAATACAATAGAAAGACTTGTATCTCTTCTGGGATGAAGAGCAATAAACTGAGTACACAAGACTGAGATTCTGACACACATGAAGAACGACAGTCCTGATTTCCTTGCTCTCTGACAAGAAGTCTATACTCCTGTGGATTAGGAAGCAAGCTCCTATATACAACATACCTTGACCAGTAAATAGCCTTTCTCAAACTGATTATAAATCTGTTTTGCTGAGGAGAAATGAGTACTTTCAATAGACAAGGTCATTTAAAGAAAAGAAAATACTCTGATCAAGAGATTGCTGAGTTGGGGGATATATATCTTACACTATAGCCTACTTACAACTGCTCCCAAGACCTGGGATAGTAAAATGAATGAATGATCTATGTTGATTTATGGAACAAAAGACAGGGGAAAAGGTTTAGTATGATTTTATTGGATGCCAAATTATCAAATAAAAATAGAAGTTACTCATCCTGTGCAGTAACAATGGTTCTTTAAGATGTATGTCCCTACAGGTTCGCCACTGTATGTATGTTTGCATCTCTGTGCTACTGATTGGAGAACTTCAGTAGCAGTGTCCATTAGACCCACACGTGCAGTGTCTCTCTTTGTGCTGTGTCACAAGCTTAGTAGGCGCACGTAGTCTAACCCCACACAGTTCTTTCTCTACTTCAGAGTCATTAACAAAGGATGATGGGTTCTTGGGCATCTATAAGGACAAACACCTCAGAGAATCATCATTACTGCACAAGGTGGCTGTGTCTACACTGGCATGAATTTCCGGAAATGCTTAAAACAGAATAGTTTTCGTTATAAGTATTTCCGGAAAAAGAGCATCTACACTGGCAGGCTGCTTTTCCAGAAAAGCCCTTTTTCCGGAAAAGCATCTGTGGCCAATGTAGACGCGCTTTTCCGGAAAAGAGCCCCGATCGCCATTTTCGTAATTGGGGCTTTTTTCCGGAAAAGACTACTGGGCTGTCTACACTGGCCCTTTTCCGGAACAGTGTTCCGGAATAAGGACTTATGCCCGAGCGGGAGCAGCGTAGCTTTTCCGGAATAGCGGCTGATTTTGTACAGTAGAGCGTCGTTGCTTTTCCGGAAATTCAAGGGCCAGTGTAGACAGCTCACAGCTTATTCCGGAAAAGCGGCTGATTTTCCGGAATAAGTGGCCCAGTGTAGACACAGCCGGTGAGTTTAATTCTTCTTTGAACAGAAGATGGCACTGGACGTGGAGTTCCTAGTAACTGCACTGTGCTTTGCAAAAGTGTAGATTGGCACTATGTAGTCACTTTACAGATCTCTGAGTTAGGGACATTCCTGAGGAAGGTGATGGAGGAGAAGACTGACCTCATTGAATGTGTACAAATAGAGACTGTAGGCATCATGTTGCAAACCTGACCTTTCCTATAGTATCACTGCCACGCCTGTTGCTATATGCCCTAAAAGATGGAGGCCAGATATTACCGGCATGAGTGGGCTGCTCTCAATGGTCTCTATAAGTGAACCCAGGGATCTCTCAGTCTTTACAAGATTGTGGCTGGAGTTAGAGCATAGACCAAATTTTTACCAGATACAGCCTTCACTGAGGCAGTGAATGCGCTGAGAGTGCTTGCCTGCAATAAGGATTGCCTCTTTGCAAGTGAAGCATTACTTAAAGCCCAGAAAACTGGGAACATCCTGTTTCATGGCAAGGTCCCTGGTAGAGAAAAGAGCAGGAAAAGAAATTAAAGGTTTATTCTTATATTTTTTCAAGGGTAAAATAAGAAAAGGAAAAAAAGCTACAACTATAGCAGATTAACCAACTATAAATACATAAATTAAAGTCATAGTCTTCATGAACTGTGAATGGCTATGTCTCTAGTCAGTGGGTGGTTCAGATGAAACGAAGGACAGTTTGCTGACTTGCAATGATCA